ATTTTCATTGTGTTTGATTGCCATGTACTCGGTTGCTCGTCATTCGCGTAATTAGTAACTACCGCACACTAAAACACGTAATCAGATTTTTCTCATGATAACATCTTTTCCGTCGAATTTAATCATTTCAACAGAACTTTTTCAAAAGGAAGCGTTATATTCCTCTTGTAAAGTAAATAAACATATTTTATCTTTGTCAAAACTAAACTTATCCCAGAGTAGGACGCTACTCAATCCTATTGTTCAGGAGTCAGTTAAATTGATTTTGTGTCTTTTGGTCGGAGTTCGCACATTATATAACGAAACTGAGCAATTTAGACTATAAGAGCTACAAAAATATACAGATCCAGTTGACATATTTATTTTGCTATTTCTAGGAATCATTGCGCTGTTTTCTGTTCTGTAAGCCACCATTTCTTCGGACACGAATTTCGAAAAAATCTAATTTATTCGCAACAAAAAAGAGTTAAAAGAAATACTAACAGCATCTTGTTGCAAACTTAACTGATGGCCTGAATTAGAATCCTTTAGGAAAGAAACTTTAATTAATAACATTCTAAATGAATGGTCGACACTCGACCAAACGAGAGGGAAGAACAGAGAACATTACACAGTAATGAACTTTTAATTTAACGAAAATGTGAAAAGATTAAGAAAGAACAGTATCGTTGAGAACTATTTTTGTTCTCATGAACGTTTCTTTCAATCCAGAAGAGGTAGACTGAAATTTTTTGTTTTGAGTTAACCAGTTTTGTCTGTTTGACGTCTCTCTTACGTCGATGAATTTCGGATAAATTATACCCGATAAAAAGATACAAAAAGCAACTGTGTTTGGCTAAGCTAATATCCATACGGCTCATACAATTTGCTTTAAAACGCAGAATTTGGTCTTAGTTTGTCAAAAAAGAATTTCCTGAACAATGAGTTACCTATTTGACTAATGTATCCTGTTAAATTTCAGATGCGATAAATTAAAAAAAATATACACTGTCATTTTAGAAACTAAAATTAGACCGGTAGTTTCCTTTACCTTAGCTTAGCTTTGGTCTCCGTGCGCTTGAAGTAAAGTTAGTGAGGTAATCTTCCAGTTTACTCGTCGGATCATCAAACTTAGCAGAGCAGTAACTGCCTCTATACCCTAACAAAGTGGACGAAAACATCATACTCCTTTCAAGGGTACTTTTAATATTCCAGAGAGCCAATCAGAATTACTTAAGGAAACCTCAAAGTCTCTCACCTGGTTAAGTTAAGAATGGGTGCGGTCTCTTTACTTCATTTACATTGACGTACTCTTCTTTGTGGACGGAAGACAATGTTTTTTATCCACGCGCCGACGTTTGAGTGATATTTCAAATCTCTCTTGAAAGCCATTTGACATAATCATTGAGCAGAAATGAGAAGGAAAAGTAAAAAGTTAAAAGGAACGACAATCAAGGTGTAATGTTTCACGATCAAATGAATAGTGCATGACGCCTTCTCGGGCGCACGCGAAACACGCGACATGGACATCAGATGTGTATTATTCCTCTCTCAAGCTCTATACTTAAGAAATGCCCCATGAGTCCCCTGAACTTTTTCGGTCTACACAAGAGCCTTTCAATAGGCGAGTGGGTAAACCAAGAAAATGCATGTGACAAGTGGGATATTCCGTGTTATACCACGAGAGAGCGCAGCATGACTATTTTATTTATACCATGCCATAGAAAATACAGTGATCAACACAATAAACGCCACACAGGCGCGGCGCATGATGGGAATGTTGGATGTCATACCGACGATTATACAATGGCTTTCCTGTACTCTGATTAGCCTAATTCTCTATGGCATGGCATAACTTCACTGCACTGAAGTTTACCTTTAGTCGACTGAGTTCGTAATATTTTTAAGTGACCCGCCGAATCAGACTCAACTGAGTTTTTTTTCCTCTTGAATCAGGTGTAACGTGTAACAAAGCTAAACTTTGGAATGCGTCTCATTTATCTTGAGTGTCGTAGTACATGAGGTAAGTCATTCATAACGGTTATCTGGGGCGGATACAGGATTTTAGAGAGGGGGTTTCGAGATACGGACCGCCGAAGACTGTCCCCTGTCTGAGGGGGTCCGGGGGCAAATTTTTAAAATTGAGATTCTCGGTAATGAGATTTCCGGCATTGAGGCCAAGTCAGCGTGTCAGGCAACGTTGTAATTCCATTAAGGATTGAATG